TTGACTACATTTATTTCAGAAGCATTTTGGCTGTAGAGCAGTGTTACACCTCTGTGACTGATTAATTTAAAATAATGTCTTTGTTTCAATGAGTTAAATATGTAGTAATCTGGAATGATTTATGAAGGCTTAAGAGTACATTTAAAATATAAAATCAGCTTAGAAATACTGATTAAGAAAATGTAAAACAGAGAAGAGCTGCATCATGTATTCCATAATATTTAATGTTGTATTCAGCAAGACAGCTGACTCGCCCTTACTACAAAGTTTTTGCAAATAAATCTCTGACAAACTTCAGGGCATATCAAAAAAAACCTGTGACTGACATTTTTTATTCCCAAGTTTAGTGCTTTTAATGAGGTACCTTCTGCATGTCCAGTCTTCACCATCTGGTATGCAGTGGAAAACATGCTTCATTTCCTTTAGAAAGAAAGAAATTGTAGAAGTATTGTATTTCAAATGTCATTTGCTTCATTTGGGTTCAGCGATTTGGCTGGAAGGGGGTGAGCAGGGTGGGGAAGGGAAGAGAGGAGGGAGACAGTGGGGAGAGGACGGAGCCTGGGTGGAGTGGGGTGGGGTCTGGGACGGAGCAGGAGTGGAGTATGGGTGGGGCCACAGGCAGAAGAGGTGGGCTGGGGAGGTAGCCTCCCCAAGTGGGAGCTTCACCCACTGCCCATGACAGCAGGTAAGAGCGGGTGGGCTCCTGCACACCTAGTGTGCACTGCAGTCTCCTTAGGCAGGGGCCGTATTCACAGAGCCGAATGCACCAGCGCCGCACATTCTGCGGGAGGGAGAGGGTACGGGGGTCTCGGCGGAGAACTGTGACTCTCCGCTGCCATGAGGCAGGCCGGGCATCTTGGTATCCTTTGCTGCCTTGTCCCCCCCCACCCTGGGTTGCAAGCCCAGGCTACCATCGGGCATAGGGGCACCAGTTTAATAATACTGTGTAGGCATCCATAAATCCTAAGGACGGCCCTGATTGGCTGAGACATAGCCCAATATCCAAATTTTTGATTTTAGATATTGAGAGAGGATTTTTTTCTCCTGACTTTGGGTAGAACATTCTATGTTCATTACCAGCACCAGTTTATATAATGTAATAGTAGTAAACTTAATGCTTGCTTTGTGATAAGGTAACCTTGTTACAAACAAACGTAAAGAGTTTTTAATGTGTATTTGTAGGTTTCTGGTATTCAGAGAAACTTCCTATGCATAAATGTGTTCAGAATTCAGGCTCTTATGGAAAGTACTATATTTAGACTGAATGTTACCTTTTTTCCCCTCAAATTGTGCAGAATGGAAGCTTCCTGTCTGGAGCTGGCCTTGGAAGGCGAGCGATTGTGTAAAGCAGGAGATTGTCGAGCTGGCGTGTCTTTCTTTGAAGCTGCAGTTCAGGTTGGAACAGAAGATCTAAAAACACTTAGTGCTATTTACAGTCAGCTAGGCAATGCTTATTTCTATCTGCATGAATATGCAAAAGCCCTGGAATACCACCACCATGATTTAACACTTGCAAGGTAATTTTGTATTCTTTTAGGTACATCCTCAATCTCAGTTCTGTTCTTGTGAAGATGAGCAATGGTTTGTTCAGTGAAACATTCATCATTAATGCTTGTTAGAGACATTGATGTGCTAGTGGTGGGAGATTGGGTGGTTTTTAGTATTCTGGCAAATAATTTGGCTATCACTTTACTGGGGAGATCTAGGGTTGCCAGATTTGTGGATACGTAGATGGCTTCCTCTTTAAATCCATCAGTTCTTCACCCTTTCCTGTTTCTAAAACTAATGCTCCCTGGCTCCCCAAAAATTAAGCTGCCATTAATGTTTACTAGACATAACTCACTAGTATATTTCTCTTTAAAACTAATAATGTGATGTTGTGATTAAAATATACAAAGTATGTGCATTTCATGTGGTGTTTCTACAGCTATCTTTTAAAGATTTAAGGTTTTCATTACATACATTTGATTCTTTTTTCCAAGCCCTTCTATTTTTCAGACTTTCATGTTTAAATTTTAAGTTTTCAGCAGTGTAATCTAAAGAAGCTATTCCTATACAACAGTGAGAAAAAAATTATACCTCAAGTGCAGGAGGTCTGGATAATTATGTTTGACTGTTTAATTGGAAATTTTTCCTCTCTCATGAAGACAAATGTTCTAGTAGAGCTTAATTTAGGTTCTGGGGAAGGTGTGAACATAGTGCTATTGCACCAAGATATGACACCTAACTCATTGCCAACTTTGCATAGTAAAGGTATCTAGAATTGACACATTAATTTGTATTGATTTCATCCTTGTCCCCCCAAAGACAAATTACAGCAGTCAACAGTTGTAGATTCAAGCCAGAGATTTCAGATTTCCAGAAGAAAAATAGCTTCTTGTATTGACTTTTTTTTCTCTTCCTTTGGAGTACTATCAAAATTAGCTTCCAGGGGCTGGGTTTTTTGGTGTAACATACCATTAAGTAAGCTGCCATATGTGACTGGTTCCCCCCAGGGTGCCAACAGGAACCAGGGTACCACTGTGCCCCCCTGGCCCACAAGCCTGGGCTCCCTTTTACACTGTACTGCTGTGACAAGCTGCAAAGCCCTCTCTAGCCTGCACTTTCACCAGCATACATACACGAAGGAGCACATCCAGCTGCAGTTACATGCAGGCAGGCTCTCTGACCAGCCCCTGCATGGGGAGGCTCCAGCTAGGGTACCTACCAGCTCCTCAGGCAGACACCTCCTCTGGAATGTAAACCCAAAATTATTCTGTTTTGTGCTGCACAGGGAGCTGTACAGCGTAAGCTCATAAAATTCACCCCCTCCCACAGTGTGGAGAGGAATATGCAACAGCCTTTCTCCCCGAGTTATGATTCTCACACCCTGGATTAGATAAAGTAAAAACAAATTTATTAACTACAGAAGAGAGATTTTAAGTGATTATAAGGGGTAGCAAATAGATGAAAGCAGAATACCTAGCAAATAAACAAAATATGCAAAATAAGCTTAATATACTAAATAGATGGGATATGAATAGCAGATTCTTACCCTATGTGATGATACAAGCAGGCTGCAGATTCTTAAGAGGCAAGCTGCACTTGCTTACACCTTGGAATCCCTAGTGTTCCATTCACATGCTAAAAATCTCTTTAGCCTAAGTCCAGCATTTCTGCAAGTTCAGTCTTTGTTTCTCGGGTGTTTCCAGGAGTCGTCTTGGGTGGGGAGTCAGTGAAGAACCTCCATGATGTCACTCCCCTGCCTTATATAGGTTTTAGATATGGTGGGAGCCCTTTATTTCAACGCTTTGTTCCCACGCCAAGATGGAGTCCAGCACCAGGTGATCTGGTCACATGTCCCTGTAGAGTCCCAGCAGCCATCCCCCACTGTCTGTTTAGAGGGTTCACAGGAAGGCTTACCAGGTGGGAGATAAGCTTCTCCTAAATCCTATTGTTTCTTCCTAATGGCTCATTAACCTGAATGGGCCTTTCCCAGCCAGCCATCTAGACTGAGAGCATTTTGCCTAGTGAGCATTGCCCAGGAATTGCTACATGTGAAATAGATACATAGTCAATATTCATAACTTTGGATACAAAAATGATACATGCATACAAATAGGATAATGATATTCAGCAAACCATAACCTTTCTTTCCAATGATACCACACATGCCTTATCTTGCATAAAATACATCATAATTATGCTATAATTATATCCTATTAATATCACTATGAAGAATATGGGGTGCAGTGTCACACCATATACAAAGGTAGTCAATAGCAGTTCTAATAAAATTAAAATAAATGTCCCCCAGTTTCTGCTAAGCTGAATTCTACAATTGAACTCTGTGTATGTGCATATAATTTATTTATAAAAGTAAAATAAACATATAACCTCATAAATTGTGAACGAAATGTGCACTTTATACTAGTGTAGATCTTAGGAAGAGAAATATCTTCCATATAATTCTGTTTACAGTTCATTTAACATATATCTATTGCAAATGTACAGGATTTACTGGATTGTTGTATTCTTTTAATTTCAGGACCATTGGAGACCAACTAGGTGAAGCTAAAGCTAGTGGTAATTTGGGAAACACCTTAAAGGTGCTTGGGAATTTTGAAGATGCTATTGTTTGTTGTCAAAGGCACCTAGATATTTCCAGAGAGCTTAATGACAAGGTAAGAATGGTGAACATTCAGTTACTGTCAATCTGGCTGTAATTTTATAGAACAATAATTATAGAAGTACTAACACATACTGATGAGCCTTTGTATAGTGGTCTTGAGTGGCTTGTCACATAACCACTTACATTATGAAGATACCTGCAAGTTTGAGTGTTCCTACTTACGAAATATTACAGGTGGAAGCACCAGAGGCACAGGCACAATTGCTTTGTTGGGATGCTCTGGGGGTGTAACTCTCCAAAATGATCACAGCTCCCCATTAATAGTCGAGAAACTTGCTTTCTCTGGCTGATGGTTCTAATAATTGGTGCTGCATAGGATTTCGAAATCTTTCCAACAGATTGATATTGTGTTCTAGGTTGGAGAAGCAAGAGCACTTTATAATCTTGGAAATGTATATCACTCCAAAGGGAAAAATGTAGCCTGTGCTGGGACTCATGATCCAGGGGAACTTCCAGATGAAGTAAAGGCTGCATTACAAAAAGCTGCAGATTATTATGAGTAAGTAAAGATTTCAAAAGGCTGTGACTGAAAAGAGAAAAATCACTAGCTCAAGCACCATATAAATAGTTTAAAATATTAAGAGACCTTTAGTGTTGTGAACTAAAGTATAGAGTAGCACCAGTTAATGGTACCAGCAGCAATATGTTGGCATTTGGGATAAGTTAATAAAGCATGAAAGGAGTAAAGAGTCATACCTGGGGATTTTTTTTAGGGTGGCTTTGATTTCATTCCTGCTATATGCTTCTCTGTAATACCACACAACTCTTATTTATCTCTACTTGTTATAAATTTCAGAGGGGTAGCCGTGTTAGTCTGTATCAGTAAAAACAACGAGGAGTCCTTGTGCCAATTTAGAGACTAACAAATTTATTTGGGCATAAACTTTTGTGGGATATAACCCACTTCATCAGATGCATGGAGTGGAAAATACAGTAAGCAGGTATAAA